GGATACGACTACTGCGCGCGAGCTTGTCCTAACTCCAGGCGCATTTAAGCCCCGTTGGCAGTACCGTACCGGCTGTAGAGAAGGTGACTTCAGAAATGGTATAAAAATCCAACTGTCAGCGTCGGCCTTGTGCTCCGGGTCGATAAGGTCATCTTTTTTGACCTGCTGAAATCGAGAAGTCTGACACCGGGATAAATGCTCCTCTGTCGCTGTAGCGCATATACAGAGATGAACCAGGATCTGTCGTGTCCATTCAAAATTGCGACCTTCAAAACAAAGTGTAAGTTGATGAATTGTTGAATCACAGTATTCAAAGTTAGTTTTAACGCGATACCTTTCTCATCGCCACGGACGTCCTAATAGCTTGGAAAAAAGCTTTAGTCTTGCCTCCCCCATTTCGAGCATCGTCATCAACCCGCAGACATGCCCTCATCCAAATATTGACTTCGCCAAAGACCAACGCGGACTACCACTCAGCTATGAAATATAAGCAGCCGGGCTCAAACCTGAGACGTTGTAGAGGGGTGGGGATTTTCTTCTCGTAGAATAGCATAATCGATGGCTGAGCAGTGAATAGCGAACGTTGGTAGGACGTCGCCGGTTGATTCGGCCTTTACTGGGGTGGGGCCTATAGGCAGCAGGCGGAATCGTACAGCCATTCCTAGCCATTCCATGATCATGATCATATCTACATCCTGGTTTGACGTCGACTCCATAACATGTGCTGTCAGTTTACTCACTCAACTGCCAGTTTAAGAGCCTCCCCGTCCCTCCCCGTGTACTCTCGGAGCTTGATCTGGCTATCCTGGCAAATTATACATCACATGTTGCTCCAAATATTGGCTTCCTCGACCACAGATATCCCTCGGGCCAGACTTTGTAAAACTTATCGATTGAGAAATGAAAATTTAGAGCACCTAGTAACATACCTCTGCCTCTGCTTAGCTTTCTAGCCGATTCCAAGGCTCTAAGGGGGAGTGAAACGGCAGTGAGTTTGAGATTTATACCCCGCGACTGGATATTATGATATTCAAAGCGACATAGGCACATGTATTCGCTTCTTCGTCCATCAATCCGACTCTTCCTCTACATCAGCAGATCCGCCATGTGCGAAGATCCTCTAGAATCTGTATAAAGACCGTTGGATTTGGCTTGGAACTCGCCCGGCACCCCTCCCAGCCCTCTTACGTCACATTAATGACAGACTCTGTTGATAGCAAGGTATTGGGGGTTGTGCTCCTTGTGCGACACGGTGATCGCCAAGGTTCGCAGCGATATGCTTATCGTTGGCGATCATACTCATGCAGCAAATAACAGGTTTCTACCAAAACCCCAGCACCTACACTCCCTCCAACACGGTCCTCACTCCCCTCGGGAATGTAAATCCACTTTCCATGACGTTTCTCAACTGAAGCTGACTATCTCTCTCCAGCAACAGGAATTCCTACTCGGGCAAAAACTTCGTGGCCTGTACTTGAACGAGACCTCCCCCACATATATTCAAGGGATCAATGGAACTCTCGTTAATGACGCCCAGTTTCGCGTTCGCGCCGATGCAGGTGGAGAGGGCGGTGTCATCCTAAACTCGGCACTGTCTCTCCTACAAGGGTTGTTCCCAGCGGATGCTAACACAAAAACAACACTTGCGAATGGGACCACCATCACAGCGCCCTTGGGTGGATATCAAGTGAGTTAATGTTCCAGTATTTTTTTGTGAACTAAGATGTAACCCAATACATGCAGTACATCCCGGGTAAGCAGGACCAATGCTGTTGTCTTCGTCAGAATCCCGATCTTACATGATACTAGTGGAATCCGTGGAACCCGACAACGACATATCACTCGAGGGCTGGACATCTTGCAAGGTAATGTTTTTTCTCCATTATGGGACCTCTACTCAGATGGATTTCCAGACTTTCACCCAAGATACAGCTGCTTTGTACAAGTCTCCCGAATTCCTTCAGATGGCCAAGGACAACGCTGAATTTCTCAACGCACTACCGCCTTACTTAGATGGAAGGCCGGTAACTTTTGAGAATATGGTACGCCTATCCCAGTTTATACGCTCAGTAGATTGAACGTTTTTTGATTCCAGTGGAATGTAAGAAAATACAGTTGTCTCACTTTCATCATACTTATCCCTATACCGCTAGGTCTTCGATTTCATGAATGTGCAATCGATCCACAACGCTGCTTTCGTGAAGGCTTTGCCACCTACGTACCTCGCACAAGCCCGTCAGTTGGCAAATTGGCACGAATACCACGTCTTCAGTGATTCATCTCCGTCAGGCATTGGCAACAGTAAGTTTTTCTTCCTTCCCCCATGTGCCTTGCACGACTAAGTATATAATGATTAGTTGCGGGGCAAGCCATTATTCCCTCCATCATCGATGGCTTCAACCGAATCACGGACTCCTCCAACCCCGTTAAATTTGTATATCATGCAATATCCTACAAACCATTCATCTCTCTATTCAACATGACGAAAGTAGCGCAATCAACCCCAGAGCTTGCCGGCATCGGTACATACTTTTACCAACATGCTCGGTTATCATTCAAAAGACTGACGATGCTCTTCAGTCAATTATGCTGCTGCCGTAGCACTCGAGGCGCGCCAGCCGGCGTCTGGAGGAGAACCCTTCCTTCGCTTCAAATTCCAGAACGGAACGGATTCAGAATTCATCACCTATCCCATCCTCGGCTCCTCAACAGACGTGCCACTCAGTGAATTTATCAACTACATCGAAGTAACAAACCTGCTATCCACATCTAAGCCTCGGATTCTGACTAAATCTCCTAGCCTTTTGGAATCAACTCTCTCGCGGACTGGTGCTCCAAGTGCAACAACAGTCAGGACAGAGGATGCGCTGCGCTCACTCTCGCAGCAACAACTGCGGTTGCGGATAGCCGCCCCAAGATAGGCTCTGTTGGTGCAGGATTCCTCGGCGCTAGCCTTATGCTTGTCCTGGTGCTCGCTATGCTTGGTGTACTGTCTTTCCTCGGGTTTTTGACTATTGGTGGTGCCGGGTTGAAACGCAAAAGATCAAACAGTTCCCAGGTATTTGTCTTATGAGTTTTTATTTATTTTAATCTGAAATGACCGGCGCAGACCGCTGGTGAGAAGGCATAAAAAAGGGGGTAACCTACACGATTCCTTGTAAATGAACAATGATTTGTCTCGATGTCGCGCACGACGATGTGTGAATGATATTGTTTGTGCTACAACATGATGAATTATTTAATCTGGAACACTATCATTTCTCTATATATCTCCAAGTACCAGTCAAGGTAAATCCGAATGTTCTTATCTCCAGTCATGATCATCCCCTTGCTCGTCATAGTTATTCATATCCTCGTATTCCGAATCCTCGTGAAACTCGTCTGTTAGGTCCGTCAGGAAAGACAACATTAGAAATACAGATAAAAGATCACATACCACTATCCGATGAATCATCGTCCTCGGGGTAGTCATTTTTGTAGTATTCTTCAGCTATTAGAAAGAAAATTGGAATGGGCGAGTATGAAAGGGAATCAACAAACCATTCGAATCCTCGTCAGCTTCGTCTTCTTCTTCAGACTCCGATGCAGAGTCGTATGGATCGGTAAGAGAGGGTGGGAGGCCAGACCTGGTATGAATTAGCGGATACAAGTAAAGATCATAAATGCTACGCACAGTGTACCAAAATTCGCAACCTCGTTCCATTCGCTGGCATTAACTGGCCGGTGGTAAAACACATCATACACATAGTCATCTGGCTGAACATCGGGGATGGAGACGTCAGGGGCAGGATCCAACGATACGTCGTGTACTGCCAAAAGCATAAGACGACCTGCGACGGCCGAGCATGCAGATGCTCAACTTACGCTTCAGGTAATCGTTCAACATGGGCAAAAACTTGTCCATTTCGGCATCCATAGCGGTTGGCATATCCTTGTCTGTCGTAAGCACCGCGTCGTACATTTTGAAATCCGGCTTCAAGGTTTTTTGGGGGGGAAGGTCTTTGGCAGAGACGACCTTGGGACTTGGAAGTGGAAGCTGTTAGGTAAGGGTGAAGCGGTGTCGCGTTACTCACGGGCTTGTGGGTCTTAGTACCCTCTTTCTCTCAACATCAGCGTCATCGTCATGCGGCAAGATCGTGTAACGCCGTATGTCGTCCTTGGGTGTCGGCCATACGGGGGCAGCGGGTACAGACGCCTCTGGCGGGGGAAGGGGTTGGCTCGCGGACTCTTGCGCCAATCGGGATATTTGTTCCTGCAACGATACTCAGATTCAGGGCACATGGAATGCACAACCGACTGACTTGAATGTCCTGGGCGCGCTTTTCGTCGTCCCACACATCCGCCTCGACGGTTTGTGCAAACTTGAATAGGCCTATACCCCCGCGCGACTTCTTTCTCCGGAACCTAGATTCGACGACTGTGATGCATCAGATTGGGTCACTACAGCAGAAGTTGAAAATTCTACCGAGCGCATCCAGCGGTTCCTCGTTCCTCTTCCTCTTGATCCGGAGTATAGTGTACGATTGGGGTGTGGGGGTCGCGTTTTTTGGCTCCATTTTGCGCTTGAGACTATTCTGATCTCTAGTGAGTTACAAGTAGGCTAGAGAGGTGTTGGAGGCCGAACAATTACGGTGCTGTGTTGTGCTGACTAAAGACGGCGTCACGGCCCGGAGCTGTTGCACGCTCAAGGCCTCAGGCTTTCATCACTCACTGAAACAGAGATCCGCTCGGAAGAAAATGTTTTTTGCCAAAGGTTCCGAATTAAAAATGAAATCGGGCTTTATATCACCGAGTAAGGCGCGTAGGATCTTATAATTTATTATTACCTCAGAAGCCATCGGAGCCACCAGGCATGTGATAGACTCCTGCGTCACGAAACTTCTGAAGAACGCTGCAAATGATGCATTAATTTTCTTCGAGATGAATTAATAAAGACAATAATAAAATGCCGCTGAGTCCACGCCACAGTGTCTTGAGATACAGAAATTCGCACAGCCACGGTGCACATAGTGTAGTTGGTTATCACGGCCGCTTAGCTCTCCTGATCTAGGACGAGTGCCTTCAGGCGGTCCCTGGTTCAAATCCGGGTGTGTGCATGTGCCTAGCATCTCCTTTGTTTTCATTTTGTTTGCTGCTGCGATTCGCGTCGTGCGCCACAGGGTAAATATTAGGCATGACGCTATACATAGATATGGACACATGTTGTAACCGATTATCCGGCCTTATTAATAGGTACTCCATGTAATAATTAGCCTCGAAAACTGGACGCAATAAGGTTAAGACGCCATATAAAGATAGGATTTGGATGGCAAACCTAGCATTTCCACATAGACTTCAAGCCGTTATTTTAGATATAATTAGATATGATTAAATTGGGGGAAAAATTGTACTAGACCGCTTTGCAATCGATGGGACGGAAACCCTTGTGACTCCCGTTAGACATGACCGGGCAACAACGCGCCAATATATCTAACCCTGCTGGGTCAGCAAATAAAATAGCCGTGCGCTTGCGAAGCTCGGACAGATCCTTATCCAGCAGGATACCTAATTATCTAAAGGCAAATTTAATATTAGATAGAGTAGACTTTTCTTGACTCCTTCAGGTGTCCCTGTTTATCATCTTGAAACCCAGAGAAAGGGCCTTGTCTAAGGTCAGAGCCTCCGTTTAACTTCCTCCCACCGTCGCCACGATTCTGATAGCACAAAAAGATGCCTGTAAAAATCGAATGCATTCACTCTCTCCAAAGTGACGAATAAGAGTATAAAAAGTTCCAAGGCCGACACAATCTATTTTCGGAAAATAAATTCCTAAAATTTAGTCAGAGCGTACTTCGCTGGTGGGGCCAGCTGTTCAGGGATTACAGGGTGAATAAATCGGTTTCTGGCATCAGTAATTAAGCATTTGATTTTTCAGTGGTTTCTTCCTCAAGTCCCCCAGATCCAAACACTGGAAGTGTCTCGCTAATGCTACTTGTGAATCTTGAATCACTAACCATTTTATCCAATACCCTATATTTCCATGTTAAATGAACGCCACCGATAATTAGAACCTGGAGATTTCAGAAAGAGCCTGCGTTCCGCATTATAGAATGACCACATGGTGTAGTTGTTTATCACGCCCGCTTAGTATCTCAGATATAACACGTTGGTAAATGTGGGCATGTGCGGGCGGTCCCCGGTTCCATTCCGGTTGTGTCCACTTCCGAAGGGTTTCTAAGATTTTTTAAAATACTTTTACATTCATCCCCAGGCGCTATTGGACATTGACACTGAAATTGGCTATATTATAGCTAGACATGGCCGTAGCGGCTAGCATAAGGTAGCGGTAGTACTCCCTGGTTTCGTACAACACAGTTAGTTCGAACTTTCATGCCGCCTTAATATCGGTTTTAGCGTTGGCATCAATTTTGCATCCTAACTTTCTTTGTGTGCGGCTCAATTCCAGGTGCGTCCATTTGCTCTCGCTGTTACTATTTTTAATATCACGTTTTACACTTATCTTAGTCTAGATCTGTGGATAGCTATTGCTCATTCACGCCTTATCTCACTGGTATGGTAGGGGCACAGTGTACTTGGTCACCATGACCGCCCCACATACTTAGAGATGGCAAGATATACAGGCAGTCCTTGGTTCGACTCCCGGGATGCTCATGGAATATGTACTCGAATATTTTTAAATATTTCTATTGCCCCAGGCTGAGCTGTTCTGCTCATGATATGTACTCGATCGAATTTGTGGCCGCCAGTGCATTGCGCCACATCAACAAGTTACTCGACTTTCCTTTCCTTCCCACGTTTAATTTTGCATGCCTCCACCCATCTCAAAGATGTGTCGCACAGTGAACCTGGTTAGTGCTAATTTTCCCCTAAACTAGCAGGGTGCAGAGTACAGTTGGTTACCACGTCCACTTAGTAAGTGCAGCTGGAGAAGATTTAGCTGATGCTAAATTGCGCGGGCAGTTCCCCGGGTGCGTCCACTATTCATTAGATGGCGCTCCTGTTTTTCCACCTTCCCCCTTGGTCCCACCACCTGCGTAGAGTACATCATGTGGCTTGTCGTTATGCCTGCTTGGCATCGCATAGGGTGACATGAAAATGTGCACATTGGGTGAGTCAATTAGAAATCTCAGGTACTTCTTAGTTTATGGAAAGCCGACGCTCGCCGATTTCGAGCGAAAAGATGGCATTTAGACACTGCGTACGCACATAACCAAAAACTTGAGTATCTGAGTATCTCCATTGAAGAGGGTTTTTTTTTCAGACACACAGCGCCACACCGCCTGCTGGGTAAGTATCATCTTGCGGCGGTGCCAGGACGTCTACCGGAGTAATATAACGAATCCCCGTCCCCTGGTCAAAAAATTGACAGCCTCGATCGTACATGGTGCATGCCGCCAAACAGTCGTCCTCGCCATACTCATCACGGCGCGCCGCAAGCTCACAGCCTGAGTGCATACCGAAAAAAAGCCAACAGGAAATCGGGAATTGTAGAACACCGGCGGGCCTGTGAACCCCATAGAGTCTAGACGGGCACATGGTGTAGTTGGTCATCACGCCCGCTTAGCATAAACGGCTAGCTCTCGTCTGCGGGCGGTCCCCGGTTCAGTTCCGGGTGTGTCCATATTTGAAACAAGCTAGACTTTTTTTTCTTCTTATTTTATACTTTCGCATCCATCCCAGTGGGAACTGGGAAGATCGACGCTGAAATTGAATAAATTTAAAATTACAGCCAGATATGGCAGTAGACTCTTCCTACTATAGAGCATGTTGTGCGTTAGCGCTGCTTCAGGCTCCTATCATGCTGTTATAATTAGCCTTGGGCTTTAGCATCACCGACACTTGCATATGTATGCTTAATACTGGTACCCTGTGTACGATCATGCCATCCTAATTATACATTTTTGCATTCATCCAAGTTCCAACTCTATATCTGTAGCACACGGATGTTAATGTGGGATACCTACTAGTAGTACTGTAAGCCGACGCTCAATTTCACCAGCAGGGCCGTACAGTGTACTTGGCCACCAGGACCACTGGATAGCGAGATATAATAACAGTCACTACAGGCAGTCCCTGGTTCGACTCGGGGGATGCTCATGAAACCAATACTCGAGGCTTTTTTAAAATGTCGATGTTCCCCCAGGCTGAGCTTTTTTTTCTCAATGATATGTATTTATGCATTGGAGTTAGGCACATAGGCGGCTGCACCGTGACTGCGCCACATCAACATAATTTGAAGTTGGTCAAGTTTCCTTCCGATTTTGCATTTCTGTACTCCGCCACCCATCTCAGGAATATGTCACTCAGCACCTGGTTGATGATTATGTGCCCTTGTGATAGTAGGGCACATACCCTAGCTGGTTATCATGTCCGCTTAGTATCTGTATCTGCAGCTGAGGAGGTGATTCGGCTGATATGGCGTGGGCGGCCCCGGTTCGACTCCGGGTGTGTCCTCTAGCCAGGGTAGAGCAGTGCTTTTTTTGTTCGTCCTCGTCTTCCTTTGTCCCCGCCAGTTGCACTACCAGGGGTGAGTGGTGCAGAGCACATAATGTACATTGTAGCGTGCCATTATGCCCGCTTGGCATCGCATAAGATAACACGAAAATAGCACGGCCCGCAGTTCAACGTTCAACGATGGGTCGGTCAACTTCTGTAGCATATGCCAGCAAGCTGCTGCTTGCTGACTTTGAGAAAAGAGATGGTATTTTGACACTATGTACATGCGCAAAGCTCGAGTAAGAGGTTTTTCCGCAGGCACACTGCGCCACCGCCTATTGGGTATCAACGCCAAGACGAGGGGGATATTACGCCCGCTCCCCGTCGCCTGATCAAACAAATTGACAACCTCAATCGTACACGCCGCCAAAAAGTCGTCTCCACCATACCTCTCCCGCCGCGCCTTAAGCTCCTCCTGGATCCATTGTACACGGTCAAGCACGATATAGCTCTCAACGACAGGGCCAAGTAGACAGCGGCGAACATGTAGCGCAGCCAAGCGCACCTGCAGCTTAGTGAACGGCGGCTCCCGCTGGCAGGGGTCATGCGGAAAGTCGACAGCGAGGCGCTCACGTGCGCGGGCGAGAAAGGTCGACCAGTCGGCGTCGGGGAGGCGGCCGAGGCGGCGCAGGGTGGGGGTGCTGCCTGTCTCGGTGGGGAGCTGGCGCGCGGCGGGGTGGATGCGGGGGAGTCGTGGTCGGGCACCTGTGCGGCGAGCTGGTACGCGGAGGCGGAGAGCGGGTGTGGGAGGGGGGTGGGTCGCGGGCAGGGAGAGGAGGGCGCGGAAGAGGTCGGGGTTGAAGCACTAGGAGAGACGCGATCGGCAATGTACTAGGCCATACGCTTGACTTCGTGGTACTTTTTGGGGGACATGCCGAAGAGTGGCTGCGGGATGGATATGGGCAGGTGGACGGGTGGACGAGGAAGCTGCGCGGCGCGGATGGCTGGGACGAGGCCGGGGTCGTCGGCGTCTCCGAGGACCATGGAATTGGTCTGCTTGGGGTCGTTGGGGTGGACGGCGAGCAGGGTCTGGAGGGTGGGATTCAAAAGCAGGTCGTGGATGGATGACAGCATGATGCCGGCTTGGGGGTGCTCGGAGACCGGGCAGAGAGCAAATCTAGATAGTCGAAATCTTGACAACACGGCTCCCAGAGCACCACCAAGATACTAGCCTTAGGACCATATTGCCTTTGTTTTCTGGGTTATTTGGGCACGTAAGTGTCCTTCTGTGACTTGGACCGTATTGTACTTGTTGATTTTCGAGTTGTTGAAATTTTGTTGGAACGTGCGTCGGTGGAGTGGAAACCTCTTCGAATACTACGGCAATGCGAGCGACGTTACCAATGAGGGGATCCGGATGTGGCTCTGTAGGCAAAGGAATTATGGATATGATTTTTTGCATCGGTGGACATGCATGTAAGTTGCTCCAAAAATGGCATGGTACGGGTACCACAGTAAAGAATCTAGTAGTTTGGGTTGATCTAAATGAGTTTGCATTGGAGCAGTGTTAGACGCAACATTGCACTTCCTGAGCGGCATAGGCTGGCTCAGTGAGAGCCTGAATCAGCTCTGAGGTTACCCGAGACCACTCCAGCATGATAACAGTACAGAGTGGTGGTTTTGAGAGGGCGATTTTGAGGTTGATTTGAGAACGGGTTCGGCAGATTGAGCGGAGTCTCAAGTTCACATCTAATCTCGAGATTAGTCTCTCACCGCTCCATTCTGTAGATCTTCAGCTATTATCGGACACACAAACCTGGAGGCATACATTTTTCGATGGCTCATTAAGAATTGATATAAGTTCGAGATAAATAAGGCAGCATCTCGACGCTAGCGCGTAAACTTGACGGGAACGTACTATGAAACCCATTTTCGCATGACGTCTAGCTCATGACCCACTCGGGGCAATGTTGGGGTGAATTTCTGCAACATTTCAAGTCATGAATACTACTGATGCTGCTTACCAGTGGTGCCAACTTCCAAGTGAAAAAACAGAGTCGCCGATTTGTCGGGTTCCCGAAACCATCCAGATAATCTCCCAAGGGAAGTTCAATTAGATACTCCTTAAAATGGCTTAGGACATTCGGTATCTGAACTCCTCTTTCCCTTATCCCTCGTTGTTGGGAGGTCGATTAGTACCGACCTCCGCAACTTTCAGTATATCATTTCCCTGCCTTCTGTGCAACGAATTGAACAAAATTCAGGTCGAGGAGAGGCCTCCAGCTCTTCAACGGGGGATGGGGGCACAAACGAGCCCACAGCTCGAAGCGCACGGCTTTTTGAAAGCATCTTTTTTAAATTTCAGTTTTTGAGTTCTTTTAGGTTTCGAGGGAAAACGAGAAGTAAAATCTCAGATTTTAGAATTATTTCCCTGTTTTTGAAAACAATTCCTTCAAGCCTGATGTCTGCTAGAGAATTGAGGGTGACGGGAGCTCTGGGTACGGCTACGCGAAGGTGAGCGCACGCGCTCGTGAAGTTGTACACTTGATCTCCACTGACTGCAAAATCTCAATCTGCGGCTGACCTACTGGAAAGGTGCCCGAAGTCCCCATGCAGGCTAGCAGCTAGCTAAGGGAATGCCAATTGTGAAATGTTGCTGATATCAAAGAGGACAATGACAGTCCGAAACCACCCCTTCAAGATAAGGAGCGGTGGCAATCAGTTTTATGTCCGTTGTCAGCGGCAAACAATAAATATAATATGGCGTGGCGTCGGTCCTCGACTCGGAGTTGAACTGGAAATAAATGTGGAAAAACAAGAATTCGATCCACGGAAGATTTTTCTTTCATAGTCTTGAATAGGCGAAGATCTAGAGTTGGGCTATCGATAGGGTCGTCAGTGTTCATGGATCTTCGCAGTAGGGTCGGGCATGTAGATAGGCTGGATATCCAAAAGGGTTCAATCCAGTGTACGAGCTGAATTTCACCCCTGTTGTTCAACTGTCATGTATATAGTTGCTCAGCCTCAAACTAGTAGGTAGGTACCATCAACAAGCCTTCAATGTCGAAGAGAGGCACAACAAAGAACTCACCGACGGGGGGTCAAAGTTGTATGTAAGATAGGAAACGTTATGTCAGGCGTACAATATGACACCCTTGAGACGTCCGAGCCGAGGATTAGGTCGGATAGAAGCACCAAAAGACCGGTGAATCTCAATGAAGTGTCTCAAAAGTCTCGAAAACAACGCTGTCAATGCATATATCGAGGAGCATATTCTGTCATGCACACTCGGGGGTTAAAATATCGCAGGATCTGAGATTTTAAATAAATAAAAAATATTAGCTTCCTTCAGTTTGGACAAATTCATCAAGCACCTTCGATGCAACACTCGAGCCCTAGAGCCGGGACGCCAGGTGGCTGAAGACAAAGATGGTCAAAGTGCTCGGACACGAGCACACGGATATCTTACGAGATGTGAGGCGGTCGGGTGCCGTGGGCCTGAGATTGGGATTGAATGGGATTTTAAATGTTCCAGGGCGATCACAACAAGTTGCTGGCAGATGAGTTAGGCATAAACGTTGGTTGGCCCAAAATGGTGCTAAGCACAGTGGAAGGTAAGAGAAGTATGATTGAAATTTCGTGAGCCAGTTCGGGGGCTGGATGCTGATTACTGGAATGTGTGATAATCTAGGCCTCCGACGAACAAGGAACTGAGTGCGGGATAACTACGGATTATTTCTGCGGGGGTGACGTGATAAATAGCAGAATTTTTACCACGGAATGGCAGGCAGGAGAAGCCAGAGCTCGGTTAAAGCAGCTCGGTCATGGCGACACTTGACACCGGCACCGGCAGGCGTGTTTGTACGTTGATCACCCACGCGTTTGGCGCGCAGGTTTGCGAGAAAATTCAGTTAGATAAAGAATTACTGGCTCAATTGAATAGTAGGTATCAAGCGCAGAGGTACCTTTCGATGTCCTTGCAGGTTGGAAATCGTTGAGCCAGTGCTCAATAAAGCAATGCCCAAGGTAAGGCCATGCTAGAGATGATGGTTCAGTAGACTGAACACCTGAGCTGAATTTTTGTGGATATAACATAAGAATGGGCGTATCAACACGTCTTCTGGCTTGCGCAGAGGTGTACGCAGAGCGCAGAGTTTAGTCGTGGCGCAAGTTGGGCGCAAGAGA